AAAAAAAAAAATCTGATGTTAGAAATTTAAAAACTATACGAGAATATCGCAAGGACAACCTGTTACAGAAAATAATTCTTCGCATGTTGAACTGCAAATTGTTAGACAGATTATTAAACTTCTCTGCACATTGATTATCATGAAATTATCACCTTTGCAAATCTATACTGAACTATATAGTTAAGCAAAAGCCGCTGCTAGTATTGACTACTTGTAATTCGTGTGCGTGTTTCACGATGTTCTGGCTTACAAGAAAAAATATAGCTCGAGCATAAAAAATTCTTTTACTTTTTTTCCATCATTCTATCTCAGCCAAGAAAAACACGTGAAACGATCAACGCGTGTAATTTCATTACGAAAATAATTGTCTCTGGAAGCTTGTTGATTTATTCTAATTGCTCTCTATACGATTGTGTATAATAAAAGCGTAAAAAGTTTCAAACGATTAATAATAATAATTACAGACGAATAATGCAATGTGGTAAAAATAAAATGCTTCGTAGAAAGCACCTATCGTTTTTTTCTTTCTTTTAGAAAAATATCCTCGACATTTCATTTAAAAACCAAAACTCGACGAGAGAACAAAACGCAGAGAAATTAATGAAAGGGCATCGTTATCACAGCTTACAAGTGGAAATGATTTATAAAAGACTGTATAGTTTTTCTACGTGATGCTTCAGATAAGAAAAGGGTAGTAAATGAAAATAGTAACGAACGATTATGGAAATACTCGTATAGTATAAAAGAATGTGCAGTTATGATGTGCTGTCGTCATTGTCAATTAGGAGATATCTGGCTGCGAGAAAAGCAGTATATCAAATGCCCAAAAAATTGTCAGAGGCCCATACCTATGTCCAAAAAAGTATAAATTCCTATAAATGCTTGCATTTGAGAGGAATTGTTCAAGACAGTTTGCAAAAGATCGCGAATTCCTCAGCGTATGTAGGTTACACTATCGTGGAATTTAAAAACAGATACCTAAATATAACTTCTCCCAAGCAAACGCATCTTTTAAATAATTCATCTTCGTTCTAGAAATGTAGACTTTTCGATGCGATATACACCGAAAATCACCGTGCAACCGGGCATAAACCGAACGACAGGCAATACTACAAACGAAGAATATCCTACGTGGAAGAATGAATCCCGAAAGCTTGGAAGATCTTGTTTTTAAAACCGGGTTTGTTAGGACTAGCGTCGTTGTGGCCGGACTGTCCTTCATGTAGCGCCCTTTGTACCAGCGGCAGCGAGCCCTGTGATTGTGTGTTGTGTCGCCAATTCATCAGAACGGGCCGGATAACGAAAAAAGAACAAAAAGAAAGAAGAAAAGGATAGTAGACGACTAATGTGCTACAACATGCAGTGCAACTAAAATATTTCTTTCTTGTATCCGACACAACTTACCTCGTCGTGTTGTTCGTGTTCGCTGTTTGCCAAGCTGGATCGCGAGCCGCGTCTCGTCGATCCTTTTTCTTCCCCTAAAATTTGCGCAACTTTTCCTTGCTTCACGAACTCCAATGTCTGCTTCAAATTAAACGAAACAACTTAAGTAACAAATGCCTACAGCTTTCCTTTCTTAATCGAAATAATTGCAACGTTTTTAAGAAGTACAATCTTCTGTTCTAAATCATTTTCATGCAATATATTAAATAGCAATATATCCATCTAATTAATGTCCACATCGTGCAAATTTTGTTTATACTTCTTCATAGTTTTTTCAATTTCTTTCACTGTACTACTTATAGTCTACTAATACAGTAAAAGTAAAACTGTTTACGCTTGGTTGTAATACGTTCATGTCCAAGTAATTACTCAACTTACCTCTTTTCGTGATCTGAGAGCGCAATCTTCTAAAGTTTCCGCTGCCTCGTATTTTCCTTGTCTTCGATACAATGCACCAAGATTCTTTAGAGTAGTCGTGACTGTAGGTGAATCCACTTTAGCAGCTTTGTGCCAACCTCCGTATTCTCCATATGGAGCGTTCTCTTTGTTTCTATGTTTATTCTCTTCTCTTTCTTCAGCAACCTGATACAAAAGCATTCTTCATAATGTTACAGGCACTTACATCTCGAATACCATTCTTAAAAACACGTATAATAATATTCTCACCTGCCAGATTGGCTTGTTGTCGCCGGCTATAGCACCAAACTCTTTCTCGTGTGCTCTAGTTAATACTTGTTTGTACAAAACTTCCGCATCCTTGTACTTCCCTTGTTTCAAGTAACATGATGCCAGATTATTCTTCGTTTTCGCAACGTTAGGATCGTCCGGTCCAAGTTTGCCTTCGTAGATCTCTAGTGCTCGCAAGTAATAGCGTTCCACCTCTTCGTATTTACCCTGATTCTGACAAAGCAACGCGAGGTTATTCAATTGCTTTGCGACGTCAGGGTGATCACGTCCGAGAACCTTCTCTCGGATATCAAGAGCGCGTTTACACAACGGCTCGGCTTCCTTGTATTTGCCTCGCTTTCCATATAAAACAGCCAAATTGTTCAACGTAGCAGCGACTGCAGGATGATTTTCACCCAGTGTTTTTTCACGAATAGCCAAGGCATCGTTCAATAAGTTTGCTGCTTCTTTATATTTATTTTGATCTCTATATACTAAAGCAAGGATGTTCAACATCGTGGCGACATCAGGATGATCATGACCAGAAGTTTTTTCCAAATCTTCCAATGCCTGCTTACACAGAGGGACAGCCACCTCATAACGACCTTGGCTCGCGTACTGTATAACCAAATTATGCAGTGTACGCAAGCGCGCAGGTATCTCATATCCAGCGTTTACTTGTTGTGCAAATTGCGAAGGCGGTGTTGGTAAAATGGCTGCAATAGAAAATGGCGAACATTGCAAAAAGTGATTCTTATCGACAGCTTAAGCCTGTGCGAATGCAAAATCTTACTAAAGCGATCAGGCAACATCGAACGAAGCTACTTTGATCTCTTATAGTTGAAGTATCTTCGAATCTAATGGAGAAAATTAAAAGATAGTTTCAGTAAAATTCCTAGTATTATTCACACAGACTTAAGAAGAAAAGATGCTTGGCAAAGAGAGAGAGAGAGAAAGTGAACGTACACTTACTGTTTCGGTCGTCCGCATCATCGTCAGGGAATAGATCGACCACAGGATCATCCGGTGGCCGATCTTTAGCATTCTCGTCATCAGCAGAAGGATCAGGATCGTATTGCTTTATACTCTCCATAAAATCTAAATGTTTCTTCTGTTCTTCCAACTGGACTAGCTGGTAAAATGAAGCACACACATTTTAGTTTCATGAAGGAATTCTCTGTATGTAATATTTTTCGAATACAAGCTCGAATGATAATGTCCTAATCAACGGACAACTTTATATAAATAAGATAATAAATTTATATAAATTTGCAATCTTCTGGTGATATCATTTTTCTGTAATTTCTTATTGTAAATTATCAAATTGTCACATGGAGACAAACGTTTTTTTTTTAATAACAAAGAAAGAGTAAACTTGCACAATTTCAAATCCGGAGTGTGTAATTATCATTCTCAATAGTCCAGCTTAATTCACTTTCATCCTTATTATCTATTTTACATTTAATTACTTACTGCTTGCTGACTGGCTTGTAATTTTTGCTGCGTTCCAGCCAATTCATCTCTCAACCAAGCGTTCTCTTGGCACAACCTTCTCACTTGCGTCCTGAGCTTTTGTTTCTCAGCTTCTACCATTTGTAGGTGATTGGCAAGAGCCATCATGACCTGTGCTTCACCCAGGCCCAACTCTATCATCTCGATATTCTTTGATAACAAGCTGGCTTTATCTCTTGCGACTGGTGCGTCCTGGGTTTGCAGGGCTTGCAGAAGTCCCCCGTGTTCAACACGGAGGGCTTCCAGACCCTGGGCCACAATTCTGGCGCCAGCCATAATTTCTTCCTGCGTCATGGCCGTCATTCTACCAATATTTTCTATTTTTTTGCTGAAAATTAAAAAAAAAAAAAACAGAATTATAGCAAAAATTTTAAATAACAAATTCATTTTAAATATGAGTATTTGTTTATAATTAATGCTAGAACTAATTTTTTATCTTCCACGGAAATTTTATACATTTTCAAAAACATGGTACATTTTGGATTATTTTCCTCATAAAATACAAGGCTTGTTTTCACGTAATGTATTTAAAAAATTTCTTGGTTTTTAAACGTATTTTCTTTTTAGTTGTTGAGTTCCAGTGTCAAAAAGAAGCTGTATGATGGAATGTATAGAGTCTTCTTTACAATTCATATTAATACCAATTATTGACATCGTAAAATACATCGTTGCGAGAATGATCCGCGCAACGATAATAAGACTGAATTTTGCATAACTTTTTGGTTTCTCGTAACCAAGGCAAAAGGCAACAAGAAAAAAGTGAAGCAGAGGTAAGCGGTATTTGGAACGACTTGCTTTACGCGCCAATAATTGACTGCAATCAAAAATAGGCATCGCGAAGTATTTCAGTCGAGGCGAGCAGAACGTATCCGGCATTGGTATGTACGAAGAACATTTCCGAACATTCCTAAGCCCCGACAGGATGGCTTTATTTTCAAGTAAATACACGATCTCGACGGATTGAAGACACAAGAATATAAAGATAATGTTTCGAGACAATCGAACGCCAATTCCAGTAAAATTAATTCGAATAAAAACTTACCCCATGTCAGGGCCACGTTAAATCCACAGAAATCAATGGTTTAGTGTATACGCGCAGGCGCAATTGCCGGGGCACTTCTTCGATGCGACACCAGCGTATCAAGTAAAAGTGAATTTCCAAGAAGAAGAGGAGACTCTACCAGAACCCTTCGCGTGTCATACAGACAGCGTTGCTATTAACTGGAGGAATATTCGTGAGACAGATGAACGACACGACGAGAGACGAAAAATCAATTCGCAGACGAAGCGATGTTCTTCAATGGAAAACTTACCCCATGTCACGGACGCGTTAAAACCCAAGCGAAATCGATGACTCTGTAGTTCTGCGCAAACGCAACCACCATGGCGTGCTCTTTATGCGTCAGAATGTATATAGATATGCAGAGGAAGACGGTGAAATTTCGAGAGAAAAGAGGAAAATCGTGACGCCGGTGCTCAATCGATAAAGACGAGCCGGAAGTAGAGCCGGCGAAAGAACAGAAAGAAATTATTGACGTAATCGAGGCCAGGTCAGGATTTCTAAACTCCCTGGAAACCTTGACCTCGTGCAATCGTCCTCCTGAACAAGCCTTGACCTCACCGTTCCAACTGAAACGTCGCGCCGCTTAACAAATGCAGCTGAGCAAGATTATTTCGCTCTCGCGACACTGGCGGCTACTTCCGGTCAATTGATTTCTCCAAGGACTTATAACGTGGAGGGGGTAACATTCTTAGTTGCTAGCATGATAGTCATCGCGAATTGACTTTCCAACATAAAGGCGATCAGGAAGCGTGGCGAGAAAAGCACGAGTGTCTCGGCTCGATGCATTAATTTCTTTTATGGAGCCTGCATTAGAGGATATTAACAGGGAAAGTGAATGTTGCAGTTAATACATAATGGTACGAGTAACGAGTGTGAACCATTCAAAAGTCAAACTGATCGACTTGAAACTCCCTGAGTACTTCTTGATTTTAATATCGAAGAATTCAGTTTTAATTCTACGAAATCGACGAGTTTGGCTCCTGCGTGGCTCGCATGACAAATTTTTCATATATAACTTTTTCCTTCGTCGACATATTGCGACATCTGAACGCGCCTCAGTTTACGAAGGAAATTATTTTCAGTGGCCGACGCATGCAATCGCGAAGATTTCCTTGATGGCGTGTATCCAATCGTATTGCTGGAAAAATTGGAAAAAAAAAAAAAAAAAAAAAATAGGAGGATTGTACGTGGAGTTTCTAATGAAAGTGTGCGGCAATTAGAGCTTGGTACGTTAAAACGCAGCGATGTAGGAACATTTGACCGAAATAGTGTTCGTGGGTAAGAAAGAAAATTGTATAAGGATTCGTAAGTAGGGGAGGAACTACTCACATTCTATAAGCGTTCAGCGTTTTTGACATATCTGTTCTACCCATCGGTAATGTTGGATTCTGTTGGACCTACCTAATCCGTATACAAAAAAAATTTAACTTTCTACTATATCGATCTGTCTGTCGTTTCTTTGCGGACAGTCGCGACCGTATTGTCACTTTCAGTCAATCGGATCTGTTGTAAAAAAGTCATTTATCCCGTTTTTT